GGGGGGAGGGGAGGGGATGCCCCGGGCCCTGGACGGTAGGGCGGGAGTAGGAGTCGGGGCGTCTCAGGTTAGGAGCGTGTATCTCCCGCCTCCTGCAGCAGCCGGCAGTTACCCTGGTCTAGCTGACTGAGTTGTATAGTAGTGGTTACAGGAAGCGCTTTCAACGTTGGACCCTTTAGCAGCAGCAACCGAACGGTTGTCGCGTGAAATTTGCTGCTGGCTCCCGGTGCAGAATGTCATGCTGAAGCTTTGCGTTAGATCCCCCTTTGCTGCGCCGCTTATGTTCCGTCTCCTCCTCCTCCTCTCCCTGATTTTGGATTGCTCTCCAGCTTCGTCTAAAAAAAAATATTCCCAGCTCCAGAAGTTGTTCTGTTGCAGCTTGAAAAGAAGCTGTATTTAAAAATGTCAAAATCAATCTTAATTCGTAAGGTTAGACATAACAAACTAGGCTGGAGAATTGACGATACATTTTTATTTCTGCAGTTCAAGCCGTGCAAATTACAGAGTGACTGACAGCAATGTGAAATTTAAAATCCATAGTACAGGATCCTCCAGAGTCTCAAAGGTTAAACAAGGATATTCATTTCTCCTCTCCCTCCTCTGATGACCTGGATGCTCACCAGTGTCATAATGATGCAGGGAATCATCGGAGAATATATAATATTTGTATCTGGAAGTATCAGTACAGCAGGTGGTCTGGTTTCCAATATATAAAACTTGAATATAGTGGTTTTCTGCATTAGTGCAAGTTCTGCTCTGAGGATTTTCTCTCATTCATTGTACACATATGTTATGGAAAGTGACCCCAAGCAACAAAAAGCACCATTTTTCAGCTAATCTTATCTGCTTCTAATAATAAAACAGTGATCTTCCAGGAAGTTACACAAGATACTATTAAAGGGGAAGCAACTGGAAATCTTTTACCAACAACTGGTAAAAATTTAATGTTTTGTGCAGTGAGATACATTCAGTCATGGGAGCTCTTCATCTGCTTGCTGAAGTGACACATTTAATAGCAGCTACTAAGAATTACTGAAGTTTATTTACTTTTGTACATTTTAATTATGTTTTCTTTCTTCATGTTTATTTACAGTAGTTAGATAAATTTATAGTCATTCCACTCCATTAACAGCTTTGGTGGGTTACAAGATACAGAAAAAGATACTAATTAAATACTATTAAAGCATTTGAAGTTATAATAGTAGTGTTAAAAGACCTGGAAGAATAAATATATTTTGTTCCCCCTTCTGAGTTGCAGTAAAGCAAGAACTTGCTTCAACTCTAGTGGCAATTGATTTTAAACATGGGCCTACATATAGAAGGCCAAATTATTTGTTGATATCAAATATATCTATTGTGAAGCTTGTAAAAAGTATGGGCCTAGCATGGGACAGGGGGCAATTAGGAGGCACCATATCAAATGCCTGGGAGCGTGCTGAAAGGATCAGGTTTGAGAGAATATCCCTTAGACTCTCTGAAATCCAACATGATCTACCCACCTCTGGGGTAAACCAACCTAATCTAGTCTTCATTCCTGCAGAGGGAAGCATGGAAAAGTCTAAACTTCCCAGATACTGCTAGATAAAAGGCAGCATTTCTGGTATGCCTGTATATGAACGTCCATGATGAAAACCAGATCAAATAAATTACCTGTTTCATGGATAGACACTGCAACAATCTTGGTGAAGTCCATGAAGGCTCTTAAGATTCTGAATTTCACTTGTCAGGGGAGTCTTGGAATTAAATGGTTGATGTCTCTCAAGACCAAAAGTCTTGCAGTCTCCACCATCACCTTCATGACTACACATATCAACTCAGTCTGCCAGGTGGCAAGTTGACCAATGGAACCCCTGTCTTCACTCACTATTCAGTACATACCCTTGAAAGTTATAAAGCTCTGGAGATTGCCAGGAAAGGAAGATAAAGGGAGTTGGTTGGAATCAGGGGGCATCAAAATTGAATACATGAATAAATAAATAAATCTTATATACACTGGGTTTTTAAATCAAAGATTTAAAAGCAGTGTTAACTCTATAAACCTCAAATCTGTCCATTTCTGGATTAATAATCTCTTCAGAGGGAGTAGGCTAATGAAAAAGATGTAAGCTCATAAAAGCAACATTATTTTGAAGCAGAGATGTGTACATTTTTGTGAGCTAGGAGCCACTCTGTCCTTTTAGTAAAATGCTGGGATCTGTTCATTAAAATGTAGGTGGTATTATTTTGCTATAATGGGAAGTAGATGTTATGTGTTAATGGATTTTATTCCCTGGGAGAGCCAGCCAGCATCATGTAGTGGTTAAAGTGTTGGACTATGAGTGAGTGACTCAGGTTCTAGTTCTCTCTTAGGAATGGAAGCCAGCTTGGTGATCTTGGCCAGTCACTTCTCCTCATCCCTAGTCGGTATCATGCTCTGGGTGATAAAACTCCTTGCCACATCATACATAGATAGCTTCACCATAAGAACTAGGTGAGCAGAGTGCAAAAACAAGCAGCCACTGTAGCCATGTGAGACAAATGCTAAGAACAACAACAACAACAGTGCATTTTGGTCTCTACTAAAAGTGGCTGGGCTTGTAGCTGAACTGTAATTAACTTATTATCTGCTGACTAAGTTGTGGTATGTCAAAGGGGCATGCAAAACATTTCAACCCGTTTTGAGTTGCAAGCAGGTACTTTGACCTTGAAATGGGCTGTTTGAAGCTCAGAACACTCCCAGGACGGTCTTAATCATTTAATTCAAACTCTAAAGAACTGAGTTGTTTCAGCTTAAAACATTTAGAAATCAAATATTTTTCCTTACTCCTAGCATGTAACCCAGTGATTAATATATATCATATTTCTTTCTAATCCTGATTGTTGGAAAACAAGCTTGCCTAAAAATAAGATGGTGGTTGCTACTGTTAGTGTCATTATTTTAAACTTGTACTAAAAGCAGCACCTGTGCCACATTGTATGTTGGTGGGAAAGAAGCTGTGGGTAGATTTTACTATCTTAATAAAGGCGATTACCATTACAATATTACATTTCAGTTATTGGTGTGGCTTTAGCTACATTTGAGGAAACTCACAGTTCAGAGAGTAATAATAAAAATAAAACATTTATTACAGTCATAGACCAATACAACTAAAAATGCACATAACATGTCTACTTAAATATCTTAAATATAATGTTGTCAAGTAAAATCTATATCATAAGTATAATTTGGCCACCTAAATGTTATTTATACATGAAGTCAAACGGCCTATCCTATAATGTTATTTAT